CAGCTCTTGGCATGTGGTATCAATTGACCTGTGTATTCCAGTGGCAGGGGATCCTATGGGGCACATTCAAAAGCCTAGAGTAAGATGTTAGGAAATTTGCCTTGTTTGCATGACTTTTGGGGGAAGGGAGTACCTGTAATTGATGCTATGAGTTACCACCCTATTTGCTGAGACCTGCATTCCTCTTTGGAGGTTCTGCACTTGATGTTGCAGGGTCCAGGGGTGACGAGTGTGCCACGTGCAGCCTTGGAAAAGGGAGCATAGAGCTGCTTGGGAAGGAACTGCTGAACCCTCCAGGGTCCATGTCAGGCATTCTCTGTCACAACTAGGATATGCGGACAGGAGGAAAGGAAGCATGTAGACATTTCTGGTATAGGTAAAATTGATCAATCGAAGCAACAACTTTCAAGCCCATGTGGAGCCAGAAACGCTTGGGTGGAGACAGCTCCAGAAAGAAGTCCTGGAGGGATGCCGGCAGGACTGGAACCACACACCTTCCTCAGACCTACTACTTTCTGGGTCGGGCTCTTTGGTCTGACAAACCACACTCGGCATCCCAGTTGTCCCAGTTCAGACCACAACAAATCCCTTTGCAGCACATGACGGACAGCTCTGTGTCCCAGAACAAGGAGCACCTCCTCATTCAATAGGAAAGAAAATCAAACGGCCTTCAAGGAAGCATTTTGATTCCTAATTCATAGGTTGAGGCACAAAGATTGTCCTGGACCAAAGGAAGCACTTGGCGTCTGGGGGCCGATAGTTGGGTGTGTGAGAGCCCCTCGTGTGAACAGTGTCTGCAGCTCCAGTATGTCCCAAGGAGAGCAGTGTTAGGACGGCTGTTTGATGGCAGAGCCAGCACTCATGCCGCAGGCGCTCTATGTGGCTCAGTGTGAGGTTGCTTTGATCTCACTTTCAGTTATGAAAGCAAGGTGTGGTTGGGTCTATGATTCTTAGTTATAATTATGATCATCAACAGGATCAGTTCAGTTTATGCCGCTTTATTTTTTTCTACTCCCAACACTCTTAGCTCTAGAGAGAGGAACAGATTTCCATGTGGCTGACCTACCCTTGTCCATCTCCTTTTTGGCAGCTGGCATCACTTATTCCAGACAATTTCCAGGAACTGGGTCATGCTCTCCTCCTGCTCTGCCCAGCTTGGCCCTTGGTGTTGCGCCCCAGCCACACCTAGGATCCCGGTACTGAGGATGGCCCCTCCTCCTCCCACCAGGGCAGGGGTTAGAGCAGCTGTGACAGTCCCAGCAGCTCCCCACTCTGAATTTAGTACCAATTTAAAATGTAGTGGAGTGCTGATAGCATCTTCCAGTACCTTCTCTTTAGGAAGCCAGTTTAAGCCTAAAGCAGACAGTGTGGATCTGGTTTCATTTACCTTCTTCCTGTCCTAGTTTTCTTGTTCTCTGGTGTCTGGTCTGGGCCCAGAGTCCTTCAGGGTCAAGGAGGCTGGCTGACCTGTGTCAGATCCCATGCTCCTGCCCAGACAAACCTCTCAGAGGCTTCATTTTCCCATCTGAGAGGGTTAGAGATTATGGATACCAAACACTTTTCACAATGCCTTGCATTGGATAGAGACAAACGTAATTATCGACTTGAACCTCTGCAGGATGTAGTTGCTTACAATTTGTTCAATGCCTGGCAAAGTCCAGGCTCCCTGCTTTACCTGGAGTCTTGGAGCAGCCCTTCATTGCTCGGGTGCAGCCTCTACCTGCATACTTGCCTGTTCTGTCCTGCGCTGGTACTTGATAGCATGGCTGTATCTGTGCCAATGGGAGGGCATGCTGTGCTCTTTTGAGCAGAGAGATTTCTGACCAAAGTTTAAGTTGAAACTTGCAGCCCTCCCCTCAGGGCCAAGACATGGCACCAGGAGATACCCAAGTGGCAACATTCTTCTCCCTGGATAGCACCGTGACACGCCCCACCCTGCGCTGTACCCACCCAACGGGTGTTAGGGTCAGTGCTATTTGGCCATTTCATGCCCCATCTAATTTAGGCTACAGTATCTCATCTAACTCTCATGATAACCCTGTGAGATGGAAAGCAAGGTTATGTCTCCCCATTTTACAGGCTGTGGGATGAGGCTCAGGGAAGTATGTGACCTGTCCAAGGTATTTCTCTAGTTAGAGTGGAACCAGCTTTAGTGCAGGCCTTCTGCCCCTGATCCAGTGCCCATTCCTAAATTTGGCCACCATGTGCCACAAAGCAGAGGTGCCCAGCCTATGTGGGACGGAGGCACCTGTGAGAGGCAGCCGGGCCGGAACCTTATACATGTCACAACAAGGGTCCCACATGTGTGCCTCCTGTCCCACCCTTGTTGGAGCCAGAAAGACAGCTCTGTTCCCCACAAATAGCACTCCCCTCAGTCTCATAGCTCTAATTTAAACAGAGCTTCCAGCCACTTTCCTAGCTTCCCTGGCCTGACTGACTCCGGTGCTACTCACTCCTTGTGTAAGAAACAAAACATGATTCTGTTCCAATCAAGATGTAGAATAACTTGTAAGTAAATTTCAAAGTGGGCTTTCTTAGTAAAAAATTCCTAGCAGCCCTGCCGGCTCAATGGCAGAATAAGATTCTGAGGGGAAATCGTCTACTGTATGTCATTGTGGTAGCTCACTGTATGAATTTCCATTGTTGAAGTATGAATTAAAACTAAATTTAGTTTAGTTCCGTTTTACTGTTTTGAAGGAAAATGGTGATGACAAAGCAGATCTTTTTCAGTTTTCTGAAAGCCCTGGGCATAATGGCCTAAGTTCATATCAATGATGTCCCAAAGCTTCCATTTTATATTGAAGAGCTGAAGAATTACATCCAGGAAAAGAGAAGAGGAAGAAGAAATGTTATTTGATTCTGCAGGGTGTGAGGTGCAGCCAGGGAGGAAGATCGAAATTCAGAGGTGACAGACAAAAAGAAAATGTTGAAAGATTTTAGCAAAAAAAAAAAAAAAAGAAAAAGAAAAAAATACTGTGCATTTAATGAAAAGCCAAAATCCAAAGGGAATTGGGGAAAATGATTGAAATAAATGTGTCAGACTGATGTGAAAGGTGCATGCCAATCTGTCAGAAAAACTCAAGAGCCTTACAAATAAGAACAGAAGGTGTGCATTATTCATTAAAGAGGAGACACAATTAGACAAACATGGGAAATGTCCGTCCTTCTAGCAATCAGGGAAATGCCAGTGAAAGGGGGTCACATTTTTCTTCATTAAATGAGTAATTTTTAAAGCAGATAAACCTAGTGTTAAAGAGGATGAAAGTATAAATACCTCCAACCATTGAATGAGTGACTATAAAGTAATACTAACTTGTCACAAATCATTTTGACAGTAGGCATTAAATAGCCTTGAACTAGTAATTCCAGCTCTAAGAATCCAACCTAAAAACAAAGGACTAAGAATGGAAAACCATTATGCATAAATATATTTATAGCAATGTTATTTATATATCAAACTAAACTAGGAAATATATTAGATGTTTAGAAGCCAGGGAATGGCTAAGTAAACTGTAGCATATCTTCTCACTGGAATAGTATGAGGATGTAACAGTTAGGAAGATGTAGATTAAGTAAAAAGAAGGGTGCAAAATTAAAATACAGTATGATTAAAAAAACAACGTATAAAAAATGAAGGAAGAGTTGAAAACACATGTCAACCCGAAAACCTGCATGTGAGTGTTTATGGCAGCTATATTATTAATTGCCATAACTAGGAAGCCCCCAAAGTATCCTTTAATGGGTGAATGGATAAATAAACCCTGGTACATCCAGACAATGGAATATTATCCAGCACTAAAAAGAAATGAGCTATCAAGCTGTGAAAAGTCATGGAGGAAATTTAAATGCATGTTATTAAGTGAAAGAAGTCAATCTGAAAAGGCACTGTATGATTCCAGCTATATGACATTCTGAAAAAGGCAAAACTATGGAGAGAATAAATAGATCAGTGGTTGCCAGGGATGAGGTTGCCAGGGGTTGAGGGGTGAGAGGGATGAATAGGTGGAACCCAGAGGATTTTTATGGCAGTGAAACCATTCTGTACGATATTACAACAGTGGATCCATTTATGTATTTGTCTAAACCCATGGAATTTACAACACCAGCATGAACCCTAAGGTAAATTGTGGACTTTGGGTGATAATGATGTGTCAATGTAGTTTTATCAATTATAACAAATGTACCGCTTCTGGTGGGGATTGATAATGGGGGAGACTATACATGTGGGGTGTGGAGCAGGGGTATATGGGACATCTCTGTACCTTCCTTTCAATTTTCCTGTGAACCTAAAACTTCTCTGAAAAATGAAGTTTATAAGAAAAATACAAGAAAAAGACTGGAAATGAAGGTTTGTGTTACATATTGTGTTTTGGTTATGATATATTTATTTTCTTTTGTCTCCATGCCTGTAATTACCATTTTAAAACATGAACATGCATTAATTTATAATTTATAATGGAAAGAAAAAAATAAACATTTCAAGGGTCTTAAAAGCTGCAAAATGAAGCTGTGCATGTGGTTGTATATTTAAGCAATTCTGAGAGTTTCTGATCCCCTTGTTTTCTCTTAGGGATTGGAGTTTTGTAAACACATGTTCTTTTGGGCTATTTGGGAATTTACATAATTGATCCTGTACTCTAAAGCTATGGCCAGTTAGAATTTCTACTCCCCATAAAAATAAACCATCTTTGGGGAACCTCCATGTGAATTGTATTCTTGGACTTTTCCCCACAATGTGTGCGATTTAATCTTTGCTTATTTTTAAAATTCTAGGACTATGCTAGAATAGCCTATTTTCTTTATTAAATACATGCAGATACTTATTTGTGTTTAAGTTACTGGTTTTCAAAGATTATACAATCACATGGTTTAATAATTAAAATTCAAAAGTTAAATAATTAATTAAAAAATATGTTTACACTGTGAAAATTCTCCCTATCCAATCTCTCATCTGTTTAGGTCCTCAGCAACCCCATTCTAAGGAACCACTATTTAAAATTGTTGTGAATACGTCCAGATTTTCTTTATGCATGTGTATGAAAATACTAATATATACTTTTCTATTTTTATTTTTTTTTAAATAGTACATTTTACACATTGTCCAACACCTAGCCTTTTCACTTAACAATGTATCTTTCCTTACCAGTACACAAATGGATTCTTCATTCCTCTTTACAGCTAGAGGACCTCATGTGTGGAAATGTGGATTCAATATAATTTCCTTAACCAGTCTCCTCCTGATGGGCAGTTGGGCTGTTTCCAAACTATTGCTATTGCCAACACCATTGTAATGACTCATACATATATTGCGTACACATGCAAGGCTGATTGTCATTCAAGAAAGCATGCAGACTCTATCCCACATGTAGCATCAAGAACAGATTTCACATCAGGGCAGTCTGGATTTGCACTTTTGTGTTGGCTGCTCACTAACACTGTCACTAAGAGCAAGTCATTTAGCATCTTTAAGTCTTGTTTTTCTTACCTGTAATATGATGCTTATCAGCCCTATCACTTTGGGTTATAGTGGATAACACATAGAAAGGACCCAACACTACCGTGATTACACAGGGTCAGATAATTGAAAACATAACACTCCTGAAAAATGAGCTCACTTAGCCTGTACTGAAGGTAACTAAAGGAATAGCAGGAGAAGAAAAGCATGCACAATCATGGGGACCCTCAGAACTTTCAGGTGCAGCTCCCCAGGCCCTTTCTCACTTGCACAGGTGCTGCTCTGCTTGGGGGTTATGAACCACAAAGATATGTGCAGGGAATCTTGGTTTTAGGGGAGCTCAAGCAGAAGTTTCTAGTGATATCTTAATACCCTACTGGTGATGTAGCCAAGGCAGACTGTGTAACCAATGAAACCAGCTGTAAACCATCAACCTATATACCCCTAAGGAACGTAGACAAGCTGGCCCTGGGTGTCTCCGGGGATTTTTGAATACTGAACAGCACATTGTAAGTCACTAACTAGCTCATCTCATTGTCATTATCTCAGCCACGGGTCAGTACCAGACCTCCAGGCATCCCTGGAGGTAAGCAAAGAGCACTCAGTTCCTGTCCAGTTTGTGAGATAACCCTACCTTACACAGGTACACAGGGGACACATGGAAACAATTGCTTCCTTTCCTTTTCCCTGAAACAAGCCTGCCTTTGCCTTCACCAGGACCTTTTTCTTCTACAGTTCAGGGGAGACTGTCACCAGCATGACCAGCTTGGCCCCGCTGCAGCCCAAGAAGGGCAAGAGAAGGAAGGAGAAGGCTGATGTTCCTCCTGCTGTCCCTGCCAAAGGTAGGAAGTTAGCCTGCAATTACCATGAGGAAACCACCATGACTGATCAGAAGTGAGTCCGAGGTTTGATGTGGGATCAGGACGGGGGAGTGCACAGATGGAGGACATGACATCTAGTGATTATATGGTCTGGAGAACCCCACCTAGATTCTAGTCATAACTGAGCTCTGTCCCTGGGCTGGGGCTGGGGGTGGTGCCATTGGCTCAGCATGGCTTTATTGGGGAGGTGGGAGGTCAACATCCACAGACTTATTCCATAGTGTGTTTCACCTTGAACTGTCAACATGCGCTGCTCATGGTGGGGTGGGGCAAGGGTGTGTCAGCATCTTGTTCATTCAAGGGAAAGAAAGCTCTTAAACCAGGTATGTCATTTATTTTGGATTTGTTCTGAGGATAAATTAGGGTTATTCTTTGACTTATGATAGTTATGACTTAGAGCAACGTAAGTGAGGAAGATGGGTGTTTCTGGAGGAGAGAACTGTACACATCTTAGGAGAACTAAGACCATGTATAGATATTTCCTAAAATAAGTGTGGCCAATTTAGAAGTTCATACCTCAACGAATTTGAAATATAGTTGGAAGTATATTGTTCACCGGATTGCCCTGGTGAACAATTTAATAACAAGGCAAGATACATTTTAACCCTCAGGTGGGGATTCACAATATGTTCCCTAGGGCAGCGGTTCTCAACCTTCCTAATGCCACGACCCCTTCATACAGTTCCTCATGTTGTGGTGACCCCCCAACCATAAAATTATTTTTGTTGCTACTCTATAACTGTAATTTTGCCACTGTTATGAATCGTAATGTAAATATCTTTTTGTTTCCCGATGGTCTTAGGCGACCCCTGTGAAAGGGTCGTTCGACCCCCAAAGGAGTCGTGACCTACAGGTTGAGCCCTGTGGTGAAGTCTGGTGGTGTTAAGGCTGGAAGGCATGGTGTTCTGTGAGGCATGACAAGTGTAGATCTGGGGAGAGGAGGGAGCAGAGCTCCCCTGTCTGGGCCAGGCATGTGCTGTTATATTGTCCCATTCAATCAGAGTAGATAGTGCCCTCCCTTACAAAAGGTGAAAGTGAGACTCAGAGAGCTAAGTAGTAGAGCCTGGCTTTGGAGTGTGAGGCTTGTCTGACTTCCAAGGCCAAGTTCAAGATCCAAATCATCTAAATACTGTTGGGCTGTCGGAAAAGTCATGACGTATTTTTTGTTTTCTGTTGCAAAAATGCGTCATGACTTTTCTGACAACCCAATGGTTACATGATGTTGGGGGAAGGGCCTCAGTTTCCTCCTCTGTTAAGGGCCTCAGTTTCTTCCTCAGTTTCCACCCTCCCTGAGGACCACTCAGGGCTGCTGCTGTGAGGGTCAAGGGTCATTGCTGTCAGTGTGAGTGTGCAGTTAGTGTGAAGCCCCAGGGAAGATCCCAGCCTCAGCCTTTACCAACTGCACCTGTTTCTCACCTGCACACCTGACATCTTTGTAGAGAGCAGTGTTTTATGCAGTTGTTTTGTTGAACTTGATGAAGGGAGAGGAGGACAAGTCCAAAGACTAGGGGAGGATCACCCCCCACTGAGGGGCACCTGTTGATACCTAGATCAGAAACTGGAGTTCTTCCATGGGTTCAGGAATGGGTTCACAAGTCTCCCCAGAATGTGTCTATGATGTTCATGATATGTGGATGTCAAGAGTCCTGGAGGAATTGTAATCTGAACACTTGACATACTTCCACAGTTCCCATAGCTGCCACGTTCCATAAACCGAAGTTGCTGAAACCACAAAGGAAAGTCACCCTGGTGAGTAATTAAATTCTGTGTTGTTACTGTCTCCTCGAGCCATGAACACACTTTAGGATCCAAGTGGCACCTTTTCTGACTCAAAACATGCTGAAAGTTCTTGGTGCTTTTGTTCAAGCAAAGGCATTCTTTCTTCTTGGTTTAGCTTTTGAGCCAGCTTTTCTCCATACTTAATTCGCAGCATGGCTTTTTAAAAATCCAAGTGGAATTCTTTTTCATTATATGAAATATAAATGCTACTTTTCAAAAAGAAGAAAAAAGTCACACTCAGGAATGTATAAAATAGAAAGTGGACCTGCTTGTATAAGTTTGTCTAATAACCACTCTCAAGAACTTATAGAAATGTTATAGCTTTGTATTTGAAATGATTTTAGATTTACAAAAGCGTTGTAAAGATAGTAGAGTTTTCTTTCTATCCTTCGCCCAGCTTCTCCTAATGATAACTAATCTTACATAGCCACTGTATATTGTCCAAATTAAATTACCATAAAAACATTCCCATTTACCACACTCCAGACTAACCAGATTTCAGCAGCTTTCCTCTAATGTTCTTTCTTTTTTTTTTTTAAATTGAGATGGTGTCATCTTTTTTTTTAGATTTTTATTGGGGAATTGGGGGATGGGAACAGTGCTGGGGAATTGGGGGAAGGGGAACAGACAAGTT